TTTTTACTCTTTTTTTCATTTATTTCCCTTTGTTTTTTAATTTTTATTTATTTTCCTTTTCCTTTTATGGCACACGCGTGAAAGTGGTAGAATTGGCTATGTTTTGAGCCTGCAGCCCAAGGTCTTGAGTTCAAGCCTTGGGTGATGCATTTCATTCTTTTTTAGCATTTGTTTATTTCATTTCTTTTTGTTTTATTTTATTTATTTTAAAAGTAGTTTTAAATGTCATAAAATTCAAAAAAAATCATTTCTTAATATGTGGTTGTGTTAATTATTTTTCTTCTTCTTATTTTTAATTTTCATTTTATTTTGTCATTTTATTTTGAATTAACAATTAATGTGCTTTGTGGTTTATCATTTATTCCAATCAATTTCATTTCTTTCTCATTTCACTTGTGAGTGGATTATTTAATGTTTACTTGGCCTTGTGCTATGATCCCCCTAGGATTCCTAGTCCATCTGTTTAGGATGGGAGTAGGAGAAACATTAGGTGTTCAATCCTATGTATGACAACATTAGGGTAGTCCTTCCCTTTCATCCCAACTTTAGGAGCATTGTGCATGACAACTTTAGGGTCCAGTTTCCCCCTTAGTTTGTGTCTTTCTTTTCTCATCTCCTAAATAGTTCAAAACACTTAATAAAGAATAATTTGTGTCGTACGCTACGAGCCTTAAGTACTTGAGGAATGATGGTTGGGGGGCCTCCTCTCAACTGTCTAGAGTGTTTAGCGTATGCCCTTTGGGCGATATGCGATGCATTCGCTCTCAAGTCATAGTCTTTACTGCGACATGAGTTTCAAACCATAACTTAATTCATGTATTGTCTTAAAAAACACAAAACAAAAATATCAAATCTTTTTTATCCTTCGGGATTAATGAAAATCATTTTTAGAAAGAGTGTGTTAAGTTTTGGTTCTACCGCAAACAGGCATCGTCCCTAACTGTTGGAACCACTATTTAACCCTACTTAGTTAAAACACTTGAACCAATCTGTGGTCATGTCAGCCCGAACTACGTTTGCTCTGATTTCTCGTATCATACGAGGATACGTAGGCACAAGATGACGATGTCTTGGCGAGCAACCTTCCCCACCTCCACCCGTAGTTTTCCGAACTACGTTGACTCTGACTTTCCCATTGCACGAGGGAATACGTAGGCATAAAGCAGCGATGCTCTATCGAGTCAGTTTTCTTTTCTTTTGCCCTGTGGCCTTTAGTATAGTTAGTTTTACACCCTTATAGACTAGACAACAAGCGTGGATCCCGTCGAGTACGACAGACGTGAGGGGTGCTAATACCTTCCCCTTCCGTAACCGACTCCCGAACCCAATATTTGGTTGCGATGACCTGTCTTATTCCCTTTTCGTTAGGTTTTCTCTGATCGTTTCCTTTCCCTCTCTTTGGGATAAATAACAAACGGTGGCGACTCTTCTGTCATTGTCGGCCCCTCTTCGCAGCGATGCGACACCAGGTACGAGGAGAGTATCAGGCCAAAAACGACCACCTCTCGAATATATGACGCTGATGCAACAAAGATATCAAAGTTCGAAACATGGGAAGTCCAGTACATTCCCCGTAAAAGGAACACTTGGGCAAATATCTTATTAAAGCTAGCTAGCACTAGAAGGAAGGATGGCAACAAGTCTGTCATACAGGAGACTCTTCCCCGTCTAAGCATCACAAAATTGACAAGACCGTTTGATATTAATGCCATCGGCGACAGCGATTGTTGGATGACTCCAATGTATGACTACCTCACCACGGGCAAGCTGCCCGAAGATAGTAAAGAGGCCAACGTAAATAAACGAAGGGCTTGCTCATATGACCTGGTCGAAGGCAAACTCTACCGACGAGGATTCTTTACTCCCCTCCTAAAATGCATTGAGGAGAACAAGGTCTCATACATTATCTAAGAAATTCAACTATGCAGCATGACGCGAAGGAGCATGTCAAAAAATGCGATAAATATCAACGCCACGGGGACATGCACTTAGCACCCCCCAACGAGTTGAAGACCATGTCCTCTCCATGGCCTTTCGCCTGGTGGGGGATGGACATACTCGGTCCCTTTACCGTGGGATCGTATCAAAACAAGTTTTTGATCGTGGTCGTCGACTACTTCACAAAATGGATATAAGCTGAGACCCTCGCCAAAATCATGGCATTTAACATACTTCTATTTTACAAAAGAAACATCCTCGCATGATTCGGTGTACCCCAAGCCCTCGTGACCGACAATGAGACACAGTTCACGGACAGGAAATATAGAACTTTGCTGCCAAACTATGCACTGAGCAACACTTCACACCCGTCGAACACCCCCAAACCAACGGACAAGCAGAAGCCACGAACAAGGTGATCCTCCACGAACTAAAATGAAGGTTGGACAAGGCCAAAAAGAGGTGGGTCGAGGAGCTACACAGTGTTTTCTGGGCATACAGGACAACTCCTCACTCCAATACCGGGAAAACTCCCTTCTGACTAGCATACGAAACCGAGGCAGTAATCCCAGTGGAAATCAGAGAACCCTCGAGATGGACTGAAGCCCCCCTCGATGAGGAACTAAATGATGAAGCATTAAGATAAGAACTCAATCTGGTCGAAGAGATCCGATCAGGGGCAGCTCTCCGTGAAGCTTCGCTGAAATAAAAAATAACCCCGCGCCATGACGCTAAGGTCATAAAACGCGACTTCCAAGTGGGTAGCCTTGTCCTACACCGAAACCAAAAAGACTTGCGCGAGGGAAAACTGGCCGCAAATTGGGAAGGCCCTTATCGGGTGAAATAGAAAACATGTATCAGGGCTTATTACCTCGAACACCTGAACGAAGAACCATTTGCTCGACTCTAGAATGCTGAAAAACTCAAACAATGCTACAGCTAACATTAGCACAAGTAGAATGGACCGCCGACGATTATACTCCCAAAGGAGAGTCGTCCGCCCAAAGGAGTGTGCCATGTTGCAAGCACAATCCTCAAACATTAACGAAGGTAAGTCTCCGCTCATGAAAATAGAAAATTTTGTGTCCAACGGGGACAACTCAATCGAGCTTCGCTATCGCCATACCAGCGTGGCAGAACACCCAGCTCGCAATGGGAAAGTCCAAGCCCTGTGCGATCAGGACCTCAACCGAGATCCTAGTCCCACATCCGGCGAGATTACTCCGCCACCTCGACAAGTTCCATAAACTATCGAGTAACACGACCAGTCGGGAAAATTTCAAAAATAATCCCTAGGAAAAAATAAACAAGGCATACAATTTCAAAATAAACATCCAAAAATATATTCGACCCCATGACTAGAAAAGTGTTTAACTATTACATAAATGTCTGGCATAACCCGACAATCAAAAGTACAAAAGTTTAGCACGCAGGCCGAAATACATTAAGTCATAACAATCATTCATCATCAGCAGGAATTTTTGGTGAGACAACCTTCTCGTCGACCACCTAATGCAAAACACTCATCCCTTTGGTGACCAGCTGTCGCGCCTCGAAAAATCACAAAGATAATTCGAAAACACGACCCTCACGCAAAAGGCGCGAAAATGCGGTTCGACAGAGTCGCCACCAAACTTTATTTATCCTGAATAAACGGGAAGGGAAAATATCGAGAAAGCCTTTTAGAACGAAAGGACAGGAACAGGGTCGTCGCAACCGATGTTCCTAGTTCGGGAGTCGGTTACGCAAGGGGAAGGTATTAGAACCCCTCACGTCCGTTGTACTCAACAGGAACCTCTTAGTTCAATTTGCGATGGGCGTTATTCAAGCTTGGTTGTTTTCTTCTCAACGGTAAATGCAAAACAGTACGATAAGAGGATAAAGACGCCAATGGGAAATCATTGGTTATAGGATATGGTGCTCACCAAGAATTTGGGCCATTGTGCCTACGTATGCTTATTCGGACGAGAATGAGAAATCAGAGCTTTCGTAGTTCGACTACGAAAAAAGATAAGGGGGAAACAGAAGATGAATGAGAGGTAGCTCGCCAAGATCATCACGATCTTGTGCCTACGTATCTTACATTCATACGAGAATGAAGAATCAGAGCGTTCGTAGTTCGTGGAGACGACCATGAAAAGATAAGGGGTTGAATTGGTTGAAGTTTGATTTGGGAACGAAAGATTGACTAACAAACAACCTAAGGGGCGTGCCTCGAGAACTGTCACTCAAGAATTCAAAGAATGCGAGATTCCAAGAACTCAGTTCCTCCGGGATTTAATTAAATAGACTTGAAGGGAAAGAGTTGAATATTTTAAATTCGAAAGATTGAATGAATAACAACTCAGGGGGAGTGCCTTGAGAGCTATTCATTCGGAGATTCAAGGAATGCTAGACTCCAAAAATAATCTTCTCTCGTAAGTTTGATTACGAAATATGTTTGAATAAGAATTAGGTGTTTTAAGACGAAAGGTTGAATGAACGATAACCCCAAAGCATACGCCTCAAAAGTCATTCATTCAAAGATTCAATGAATGCTAGACTCAAAAAATTTTCTTCTTTCGTTATTTATTAAGAAAATAATTTGAAAAATATTAAATCAAATATACTATAAAAAGAGATGGACTGCAAGACAAAAAACACTAGACTTCCTTAAAAACACCACTTAGTTTAACTTTTACGAAATCAAACTTACACTCATTTAATAACCTCATCTCTCTTGATAGTGTCTAGTAAGGGTAAAATAGAGAGACAATAAAAGGCAATTAGATCTCGCCACCTCAGCCTCTCCTACGTCGAAAAAACCGTATCTGCAGGTGCAATAATTTTCAATTCCAATTTTATTTTTCATCACACTTTTCTCATTCCCAAATTTCAAGTTACCGTATATCCCAATTTTTTCGACTCCATTTTTGATAATATATAAAGTTACAAGCTGAATCATCACTGCAATCCACAACTACCGATCTTCTTCGTCTTCATCTATCTTTCTTCAGATCTCACTTTCTTCAAAGACGGCGCGAATTGCCAGAACGGTTGTTCTCAGTCAACTTCCAGTGGCCATGGCTCCTCCACCACCGCAATCTCAACGATCTCCCTCGCCGTCTCAACCGTCCGGGTCCGTTCCCACACTCATCTCTTCATCTCACTTTTTCCATTTGAACTATCGTTAATTTCAATTTGAACTCATCGATGTAACCATCGCATATCAATTGCTGCATTTTGGATTTACGCATTTTCTAGGTTATCATGAACATCGCAGATCCAATGCCGCTGATTTTTGTCCTGTTTTTTATTTTTACTTTTTATATATCTAAAATGTGTTCTCTATTATTGATATTATTACAGTTATCTTTTGTACATGTGGTGGATTGTTTCTTCTTCACGGTGTTATATTATATGCTTGTGTTACTTCGAGTTTTAAACCTAATGTTTGATTTTAACCAGGAAGAGTGAAGTCTCTGATTTAAAATTACAGCTCCGGCAGCTTGCTGGTAGCCGTGCTCCGGGTACTGATGACTCTAAGAGGGATCTTTTTAAGAAGGTGATATCCAATATGACTATAGGTATTGATGTTTCTGCTCTTTTTGGGGAGATGGTAATGTGCTCGGCAACATCAGACATTGTTTTGAAAAAAATGTGTTATCTGTATGTTGGAAACTATGCCAAGGTGAATCCTGATCTTGCTCTCTTGACGATTAATTTTCTACAAAGGGATTGCAAGGATCAGGATCCAATGATTCGAGGACTGGCATTGAGGAGTTTGTGTTCACTCCGAGTGGCGAATTTGGTGGAGTATTTGGTTGGGCCTTTAGGGTCAGGATTGAAGGATAATAATAGTTATGTTAGGACGGTGGCAGTTATTGGGGTGTTGAAACTGTATCATATATCAGCAACGACGTGCATGGATGCGGATTTTCCAGAAACGCTGAAGCATTTAATGCTTAATGACCAGGATACTCAGGTAAGGATTATGTTTTTCTAGTGACTTCATCATCAACCTATTATTATGTTCAATTTTGTTAAGACTTGAGAGATTCCCTTAGAACCAAGCTAATTTACATAATCCGATCATTAATGTTAGTCGGTTTCTTGGTGGAGTTAGTTACCAGAGAGTAAAAAGTGGAAAGGGATGTAAATTGAGGGGGGAGTTAATGAAGGTATTATTCCTTTTTGTTTGGCGTCTGCTTTTTTTTTTGTGATAGGAGTTACCTCCATAGTTGGGAGCTTTGGCCCTTATTTTCTTTTGTAAGCACACTTCACTTTACATTATAGTACGATCCCCCATCTATTAGACAGGGATCGATCGCTCTCGCCTCTGATATATAAAGGCATGTATTCATATTCATATTATAAACCACCTCATTTTAGGTTTTTTTCCCTTATAATTATATTATATTTGGCTGGGTATGTCAACCTTCTAAGCTGTTAGCTAGAATTATTATTATTATTATTATTATTATTATTATTATTATTATTATTATTATCAGCCCCTACAACATGTTCTGTGAATTTTTCTATTTTCTTCTTTGTAGCTTCATTACAGTTAATTTGATTTCCTTGACCTTAAGATATATAAAAGATTGATGTTGTTCTCATTTTCTTATTCATTTTTCTCTCATCATGTGAGTTTAATCAGTCATCACTTGTCAAAATCAAGTGTATTTTACACATTAAGCTGAACTTCCACTATTCTAACTACTATATTTTAAAACTCTTTATGCTCCTTAAAAAAAGGTTCCTTTCTTTGTTCTTTCTGTTGTTCATGAATATATCAGGATGGCAAATTCTTCCTATTACAAAAATAATAAATGACAGCATTTGCCAAATGAATTACACTTATACATGGTGATGTTTGTTTCATCAGGTAGTTGCAAATTGTCTGTCTGGCTTACAAGAAATTTGGACCTTAGAGTCAACCACCTCAGAGGAAGCAGCCAGGGAAAGAGAGACTCTGCATAGCAAGCCAGTTGTTTATTACTTTCTCAATCGGTAATGTTTTCTCAAGTAGTTTCTTGCTTTCTGATAATTTTTGAACTACTTAGGAAAGCTGTGGCATTGAATTAATGTTTTTCATTTATCGACACATACCAGATATACTGAAGCTTCTTAACCACTCTCTGGTATTCCTGTTTAAACTTTTTTTTTTTTTTAAATATCTTTCTAGTTTTCATTTTGACAAATGCTATGACTACTGTATATAATCTGCCAGCATTCTAGTTTTTTTGTCCTTCTATACAACTGTAATTCAATTATACTTTGGTATTATTGTGGGAGTAAGTGGTTGACTGAATAGTTACTTCACAAATATGAATAAGAATTTTTGAATACCTTATTTGCTAATTGTGTTTGTTTTAGACTATAAATTGTGTTTTTTTGTGTGGCAGGTGTCAGGGATAATAGCAGTTGTAGTATTTTGCAAAAATACTAATTTTTAACTTATTTGTTTCTTTTTTTGCAACATGCAGCATTAAGGAATTTAGTGAATGGGCACAATGTCTTGTGATGGAATTAGTGGCCAAGTACATTCCTTCAGATAACAGTGAAATATTTGATATAATGAATCTCCTTGAAGATAGACTCCAGCATGCAAATGGTGCTGTTGTCTTGGCAACTATAAAAGTATTTCTGCACTTGACTTTGTCTATGGCTGATGTTCATCAGCAGGTATGTATTGATTTGCGTATATGCGTGAAAACACTATTTATACTACCTGTTATTCTTTATAACATAATTTTTTTGTGATTATTTGACTATACATTTCATTCTCTGGCCTAGACTATACTAGATTTGTATCTTATAATGGAGGACATGCATTTGTTATTAAGGTCCTGTAAGGGGATGCTTGTGGTATTTATATATTGACACATAATTGAGTTAGTGTTGTGACCTTAGCCTTAGGGATGCTAGTAAACTAAGCCATATGTGTTTCTTTTGGTTGAAACTAGTTTGGCTCAGTTCACCATGGGTTCTGTTTTGTGTAAATAAGCCTGAGCAGTATACTGAAGCTCGTTTAGTCAATTCACCTATGATGCTTGGCTTGTTTAGCTCACGAGCAGCTCAATTATTGATAATTGTTTCCTTTGGCTCCGTAGTTGTGTTTTTAAATCTTGTTTTTGTGTATGATTTGGTTTGTAATGTTTTTTTTTTTCTTTTCATCCTAGCCTGTCAATAATTAACGTGTTCGGGTAAATAGCTTAATTAAATACTTATTCAATAAGTGCGGATCATGTAAGAGTTTATGTATAAATGTTTTACAATAGAAGAGGGAATGAGAGTAAAGATCGCATAATCTCTGTATATGCTGTTTCTAATAGACATGCCACAAAGCATTTTTATCAACTCTCTCGTACACTTGTACAATTGTTTATGTCAAAATATAAATTCTAATAAACTCTGACAGACACCCCTAAAAATTTGTACATGACTGACTATTGTGCCTCCCGAAAAAGATATAACTTAGTTTAATTTATGTTTTAAATTCCTTGCTATTTCTTTATATCCATCCTGTTGTGATGTGTCTAATGTTTGGGGAACTTTTTTTTGTGCCAGTTAGAGGTGTTAATGTCATGTTTATGCACCTTCAGTTAGTAGGCGGTATATGATTTAAATGAAGGATTTATATATTTTTCAAGACAAATTGATCTTACTTATATGCATGATTAGTATATGAATCGGTATTACAAATTTGATTACAAACAACATGTCATATATGTTACAAAGTACAATATTTAGCAACTAGGAAAAAAATAAGATCGACAATGCACTCGAGAAACATCAGAATTAAATGCTTCATTATAGCAAAAAGAAATTGATGGGTCATGTACATCAATGTTTTAATTTGTATGTGAATAAATGTGTTATTTTATTATATCATAGTGAAACCTATTTAAACTGTCATTTTCATTATTTAAACCTTTTGTTTTGTTCTTGTAATTATTTTGACTGTATCTTATCAGCTTTGGTTGTTTGCCAGAAGCAATGTGATTTCTGATTCAATTTCTTGTTGTTTAGGTATATGAGCGTATCAAAGCCCCTCTCTTAACTCAAGTGAGCTCAGGAAGTCCGGAACAATCTTATGCAATTCTTAGCCACCTACATCTCTTGGTCATGCGAGCCCCTTATATATTTTCCTCAGACTACAAACACTTCTATTGCCAGTATAATGAACCATCCTATGTCAAAAAGTTGAAGCTTGAAATGCTGACTGCAGTTGCAAATGAAAGTAACACCTACGAGATAGGTAAGTGGCTCCCCCAATGTGCTAGAGAAAGAAGGGGGTTAGAGAGGGAGAAATTGTGCTAATTACATTTTTTCATTTGATGTTTTTGATCCCCAGTTTCATTCGCCCCCTTTTCATTTTGGTAATGCTTACACAAGAACTTTGTGTCCCACTTCAGTGACAGAATTATGTGAATATGCTGCAAATGTTGACATCCCAATTGCAAGGGAATCTATTCGAGCTGTTGGAAAGATTGCATTGCAACAGTATGATGTCAATGCCATTGTTGATCGACTTCTACAGTTTCTGGAAATGGAAAAGGACTATGTTACATCTGAAGCTCTGGTAAATATGACGAATACCTGCTAGATACCCTGGAATTTTTGCCCGAGTAATATTACACTGCTTACCATTAATATATGAATACATGTAAAAGTCATGACATTTTGATTTGACCTGGTAATGATGGAATGGACTGACAAATTTGATAGTTCATTTTATGCAGGTGCTTGTGAAAGATCTTCTAAGAAAATATCCTCAATGGAGTCAGGATTGTATTGCTGTTGTTGGGAATATCAGTAGCAACAATGTCCAAGAACCTAAGGCTAAGGCAGCTCTCATATGGATGTTAGGGGAATATTCTCAGGAGATGCATGATGCTCCGTATGTCCTGGAAAGTCTAATTGAAAATTGGGACGAGGAGCATTCTGCTGAGGTAGTATACATTTCTCTTTTTATGGTTTGCAGTCTTGTAATGTTACATTTATGATTTATATTTCAGTATTTGATGCTGTTGAACAGTCAATAATGTTCTCAGTTGAAATTTAATACGTATAATCTTATTAAAATTTACTGGGAAGCATGAATGTTTTTTCAAAATCCAAGCCATAGTTCAGGTTACAAGGTAAGGTGAAAATATATTTAGACTCGTAACCATTTCGAACATCACTATGGTATTGAGTTAATGAAAACGTGTATGAGCAAAATTCTTGTAAAACAATTCAAATATTCATTACAAATAATTACTCCCTCCACTCTCTTTTATAAGCAACTTTTGACTTTTAGGTTCATTGAATAATTGACGTATCTAGGCTATATATAGTCTAAATACATCATTTATTGAGTGAACCTAAAAGTCAAACTTGGCTTATAAAATAGAATGGAGGAAGTATTTTTCATCCAATAAGTTTAATGCTGATAATTTTGAAATTTGAAGAGGGAAGACACTTAAAAACTAAGTTTGATCTTGTGTTATTGATATCAGGAAGTCCCATATTAGTCAGCTCTAGTGCCAGAAGCAGCCCCCCATGTACTATATTATATTGGACACGGTTGTCGGTAGAGCCTATATAGTAGTTGTTAAATCTCACGGACCTATATTCCCAGGATCACTGGTCACCTTGTAACATTCCACGATCTTTGAAGATCCCTCAGTGCGGCAATGCACATGGGATCGGGAATTGCAGGATCGTGAAATTGCATCAAAACCACGAGTCAATTCCTAGTTGTATTTCCATAAGAGACCCTGGTCAGGTTTGAGGGGAAAACCTGGAACCATGTTTATTTGACGGTGATGGCTGAACTGTGCCTTGCGTAGGAGCCCTACCTCGTTCCTCTCAACAATCAGTACAGTTGGGGTTTTCTAATTTTTTTGAGGGGATTTGTTGTTATGACCCATAGTCCTTAACTATTTTTTTATGCACTTAATTGTTGAAAGGCTATGAATTGTTTTTTTAATGAAAGTTATGAACTTGGTTTGATGTTATATATAGTGGTTTTTTTCTTCATGTATGATAAATTTTATGCACGTGTGTGTAATCCCATGGGGGCATAGCTATTAAGTCATAGATTCCACATAGTTATATAGGGAGGGGGCGGGGGCAGTGAGTATGCTGCTCGAGACCTACTTGGTATGCATATTTGGTAATAAATTTCACAGTTGAGCGGTGTTGTGTTAAACAGTCCTGCTTTTGAGTGAGTATGACTAAATCTTCGAGCTGTGATTTTGACCAGTTCAGTTTGCATTTCCGAGCTCAAAGCAGCCAAGATTCAACTCACTGATGGGATAAGCTATACTGGGTTTGTTTTAATAACTATGTTGGGAACTTTCGGTGGAAATATAATATTTTACATTATGTTTTCAAAACTCGTAAATATTTTCATTAGTTTTTTTTGGGTAACAAGTTGCTTTAATTTAAAGTATCATGACAATTGTCAGTTTGTCACATAGCACAGCCGCAAGCATTATTCATCTATTCTTTTGGCACTTCAAAATTTGGCTGATTCATTGATTCCCTCCATCCCCAGCAGAGATGTTTATATCACAGCAGTCATAACATGACTACCCATGTCTGCCATGGATTCATTGTTGGGTTTGTATTCTGCCAATGGTGTGACATGGCATAGGCATAAGCATTATCCACTTGTTGCCCCCTACTTCAATAATTCCCTCCTGCCTCAGCATACACATGAAAAGTACAAACATTATGCATCATCTTAAATTCTTCATATATTCATGGAGAATAGAGGTGGAAGTTATGTTGGGTTTTGATCTGGACGAGAATATAACTTTATTGTCCTATAATTCTATGGCTGTTTTTAATAGAAAATATGCTTACATCATTGACACCTCCTTGCGGTTGCATGTTAATCTCTTTTTTTTAATCCGATAAATAAAAGAAGATATTTCATGTCTTTACCACTTATTCGAAGCATGAGTAACTTGTGTCTTGAAGCAGGTTCGCTTACATCTTCTTACTGCCGTAATGAAGTGTTTCTTTAAGAGACCCCCTGAGACTCAGAAAGCATTAGGAGCTGCACTGGCCGCTGGTCTTGCTGACTTTCACCAGGTTTGAGTTGTTACTGCTTACTATTTGAATTGTCGAAACAATACAATTTAAATATTTGTTTGTCAGCAGCATTGGGTTACATGTGCTTTTGTTGATTGCAGGATGTTCATGATAGGGCCTTATTTTATTACAGGCTTCTACAATACAATGTATCAGTGGCAGAGAGTGTGGTTAATCCTCCCAAACAAGCAGTTTCCGTATTTGCAGATACTCGGAGCAGTGAAGTTAAAGATCGCATATTCGATGAATTTAACAGTTTGTCTGTTGTATACCAAAAGGTAAACTATCTACTGATTGCCTCCAAGTGGTTGGTTTATAATGAACACAATTTACTGCGATAATATTTTACGTTTTAACCTATGAAGTACAAACACTCATTGGTTAGGCGTGGTCCCGTCTCTGCGTCCGAGCAACACATTAGACTTTTTTTTCCTTTGATTGGACACACTTTGGATATTTCTCAGACACAACACACTCATCTTTGGTAATAATGGACACATGACTTAACAAAGAAAACCTTTAAAAAACAATGAGGGGGCTAACATATCTTGAATTAGATTATATTTTTGTAATGAAACAAATTGAATAATGTTTTTGATATTTATTTTTTCTCTTCTCAATTTAGATATTTTATAAATGTTCATAATTTATTTAATTATAAAAACCAAATATATATGTGGTTCATATAAACGGATATAACAATAAAATGAAGGAAAAGATGATAAATGGGTCATCTTACCATTTAAGCTATGTTTTCTCCTCTATTGAATAACTTGTGGCATTCTAATCATGTCATGTTGAGTCTTGCGTCAACTATTGAATAACCCGGGACATTCTAAATAATTATGTTAGAACTTTTACTTTTAACATGTCAATATTGTGAAACCTCATAATTCATCTAAACTTGTGCTTCAATGCCATGGCTTGAGAGTTACACACGGTGACAAGCTAACACTGTTATTTTATTATCGATGTTTGAAACATGTTTATATTATAGTGATTCTGGTCTATTTCTTCACCTCCCTCTCTTATTGTTGTATATTAAATTCTTTCAAACTAACGATAGTTAATTCATCCAGCCTTCTTACATGTTCACCGATAAGGAACACCGAGGGACATTTGAGTTTTCAGATGAACTTGGAAATCTATCTATTAATGCAGAATCCGGAGATTCTGTTGTTCCTGCTCAGAGAGTGGAAGAAAATGACAAGGATCTGCTTCTAAGTACCACAGAAAAAGATGATGTTAGAGATCCTGGTAGTAATGGTTCTGCCTACAATGCTCCTTCCTATAATGGATCTTCCCCTTCTCCTTCTGCTACTTCACAACCGCTTGCAGATTTGGCATTTTCAAGTACAAGCGCAACTGGTCAAGCTCCAGCATCTATCTCGGCAATTGATGACCTGCTTGGTTTCGATTTTTCAGTTGGGACTGCAACCACGCCGCCACCTCCTCCATTGACCCTCAACCCAAAAGCTGTACTGGATCCTGGCACATTTCAGCAAAAATGGCGTCAACTACCAATATCGTTATCAGAGGTTTGCTTTGAAATTTTAATTTCAGTTTTGCTAATACAATATCATTGACTTGTAATTGTTCAACTAGTAAAGACTTTGCACACACCTAATGATTTTGAATCTCAAGTCACGAGTAGTCATTGGCAATCCAGCTAAATAATACGAGAGCACGTCAATGGATAAGGGTAAAAATGTAACTTTACGCTACACCAGCGGCCCATCAAAATTGAGCCCTAGAAATATTTTAATTTATACAGTATCTTTTCTCTTTTTGTAGACTGCCTCTCCACCACCAAAAAATCTGTAGCATTTTGGTTTATTTTTGGTTTGTAACATTTAATAATATGATGCAGGAATATTCTTTAAGTCCTCTTGGAGTTGCATCCTTGACAACTCCCAACGCACTCCTACGGCACATGCAAAGTCATTCCATACAGTGCATTGCATCCGGCGGTCAGGCTCCTAATTTCAAATTCTTTTTCTTTGCTCAAAAAGCGGAAGGAGCATCAATATATCTTGTAGAGTGTATAATCAACACTTCATCGGCCAAGTCACAAATTAAAATAAAAGCGGATGACCAAAGCTCATCACAGGCATTCTGGACTTTATTTCAATCAGCCTTGTCCAAATTTGGTTTGCCCTGAAACTTAATGGTGCATACTTTTGAGCTGTGAAGTAGCAATAATGAAAATTTGGAATCCTAGCTTGAATACATAAAGAATGGAGATAGATATGGGTTCCATACTCACCCCCTCTTCCAAAGCAGATCAAATCACTGTATAACAGAAAATGCAGGGGATTTCATTACTAAAAGTTTTTGTAGTTTTTTTGGTATCCATTCCAATGTGATGATTAATTAGATATTCAGTTGTAGAAAACACGAGTCTGGGTTGCAAGTGTGTAGAGCTTTTATGTTGATTTCGTGAAGTTTATTCAAGCGCTTATTGTGTATGGCACGGATGCTCAAATGTGAGATTGGACATATCCCTTCTTTTCTAATATAATGTAATTAGGATCTTTAATCCCCAACAAAAGGGTTTATCGAGCAAAAATGAGATGAATTTTATTGAATTGAAAGAACCGATAAATACATCATATGTCCAGTCTGCAAGCTATAGGAACTGCTATTTTTAAGACAATTTATTTCATGCAAATTATTATTTTTTTACGAGAGGATATAGTTAATTAGAGAGTTAAAAAATTTATTTTAATTTTCTTGATTTATTATCTGACTTTTACATATGAGAAATAACTATTAGATTTCGTAGTTTGTCACGAGACATAAGTGATTTTTTTTTCTTCTAAATTCATTAAAGTCTATGTTATTTTTGTTTCGCACAATGTAAGTTCTCCAAATCATTTTCTAGTTTTTTTTAATCTTATTGATCTCCTTCGATTATGCAAATATTATGCCTGGTATGAATGTTGATCTTTCTTTATTTTGCTTCTAGAATTTTGAAAGATGATTTTCGTGCCTTAGACCTTGATTTTGAGAAATATGAGATACATATTTTTGTCACTTTCAATTTGACATTCATCAGTTTTCGAAAAATGATTTCATGTCTTTGACATCTGTAACTTTTAGTAATATTTTTCTTTTTCTTATCACCTTACTTTTCTGCAAGATGATTATTTATCGCTTTTGTAATTTGCAAAATATAGTATTCTTTCTGTCTCAAAATAAATGACACATTTGTTTATTTGTCTCATAATAATTGTCGTTTTTAAATTTCAATGCAATTTTAGTTTTTATCTTTCAATTGTATTATCTAATTAATACTCCTAATTTTTTTTTCCACATTACATTAATGATAATTAGAATACATCAATAAAAAATAAGAATAATTTGGTAAAATTGTAATTCTCTTTTTTATTTATCACATTTTTTAAATATGTTTGAAAATGTTTAATAAGACACTGGTTTTGGGACAAAGTGTAGCAGTCAAATCAATAGTAAATAAGTCTTAATATTCATAAATAGCTTTGACTTCAGATTTCCATGTTGCGAGTTAAGACTTTGTTAATTAAATCTTCATTTTGATTTTTTTTTTTGTGTGGAGTTCTTAAATAACTAACAAGAAGAATAATCTATTTTCTATGTTCGAAATATTTTCTCCTGATTTCATTCTAAACAATTTATACTCACTAGTCAATGTGTTCATCCTATCTTTTTTTTTATAATCTTGGTTGTATTTTTACAAATAACTTAAAGAGTGTCCCATATTATTTTTGCAATGTTACAATGAAAAACACAAACAAACTCATCCATTCCTAGAACAAATATTGATGATAGTTTTAACTTTCAAACTATACTATAATTTTTCTTTACCCTATTTGGTTCATAGATTTTTCAATTTGATTTCCACTACATCATTAAGTTGATCATTAACTTGATGAATGGGAACAAACCGACAATTTTTAAGAGAATTTCAAATATTATAATCCATCATTTCTATAAAAAAAATTTATCTTCTTTTAAAATAAACATACACACCTATTCATTAAAAGTTATGAGTTTGTTTAATGAATCATTTGAAATCATTCATATTTCTCGAAAGAGTTAATCTTATAATAGGTGTTAAATTTGGACACTATTTATTAAAAAGTGACTTCAAATGCAAGAGAGAGTGGATTTTATTATTGAATTTCTGAAATTTTTCGTAAAACGATTGATTTTAAGAAAAAAGAAGAAAATGATAATAAACATAAGAAAATAAAATACTGAAAAATAAAGAATAGAGATAAAAATACTCCAACAAATTTTTTTACTAGTTAAACTCATGACTGTTTTCAACAAATAAGAGGTGAATGTTCTAATTTTAAAAATAGTCGCTAATAAAATGATAGAAAGAATTTAAAAATATATCTTTTATTTAAGTAAAGTTTAGGGTGTACCATCGTTTTAAATTAAATTGAATTATTTTACTATATTTCAAACCTTCTTTCATTTGTGACATCTTTGAATCATTCCTCAACATCTTTTCATATTTTTTTCTCTTTTATCTTTCTACACCACTTATTCAATTTCCACCTTCGTTGATTTTTCATTATATATATATATATATATATATATATATATATATATATATATATATATATATATATATAAAATGATTGATTCGTAATTTTATCTAATTGTTATTTGTTATGTATGTCTCATCTATTATGAATGATGCATTTCTTTCTAACTTTTGATTTTTAATTTTAATTTTATTTTTATTTTTTTAGAGAACACAATTAGTTTTTCTTTCAAAGTTTAAAAATTTATGTTTTAAGATGCAGTTGTTTTGAGACACTATGATAAGGGTCTCAAAATTTGATATAAAATCTTAATTAAAAAAATTTTAAAATCTTAATACTGTAAATATTGTGTTAGACTAAACTAAGTTTAGTTAAATTATTCAAAAATATTTTAAATATATTAATTTAATTTGTTATCTATATAATCATATGACTTAATTAAAAGTAAAACTAAATATAAAATAAATTTATCCTCTAAAAATTCTTTTGAAATTTCTACTGAAACAACTCAAACTTCCAACCTCAGAAAAAGGAAAATTATGATATTAAACTACAACTTTAAGACAACAATAAAATTACAGGACTCTCAATATAATAAGTCATTCGCTTAATAAAATAACTAACGTAGAGTTTCCGTCTGTCCGTTTTTTTAATTCCATAAAAATATAAACGATATTTTTTTGTTAAAATAAAATTTAAAAAATACAATACATAAAAATTAATAATAAAAAGTTATGTGAAAGTTAATAATAAAAAGTTATTAAGTAAATTAGACAATAAAATAAAGATAAAAATGATATAAAAAAAATAGGATACACCAAAATAAAATATTCTCTTTATATATTATATAGATGGATAACATTTAAAAAGAAGAGAGCGAAAAAGAAGAATAATAAATTAGATTTTCATGTATGAATGAGTGCACAAGACTTTTTTATATAGAAAAAAATTGACTAAAACATTTTTTTATTATAAATTTTTATTTATTATTATATTTTTTCAATTATTTGAATTTTTCTTTTACATTATTAAGGAAATTTTCTTGCTTAATTATTCACAAATTAATAAAATTATGTATTTCTTAAAATTTATATAAAATTATTATAAAAGTGATTAATAACTTAAACTAAACTTCATTTAAACTCATAAATATTGACTATTGGTGCTTTCAATTTTAGGAATCCATTTTATATTTCTAAAATTTGATAAAATGCACATGTCAATGGAATGAAGCGGTGAAGCCCATACTCCTACACTTTCGCGCATAAACAACACAATATACCAAATAACACAACACATTTTTAAAAATTTACAAACAAATCCTTCTCACTCCGTAGTTCTTCTTTCACATACACTCATTTTCGAAATCTAGGGTTTTCAGTTCTCACATTTCTCCCAGTTTAGGGTTTCGCATTCTCTCTCAATCATCAATGGCGGCAATCGTGGCTCCTCAACCCCAATCTTCCAAGACGGAATCCTACACCGACAACAAGCGCAAGGAAGATGTCCGCCAAGCCAACATCATCGCCGCACGATCGGTTGCCAACGCCGTTCGCACCAGTCTCGGCCCTAAAGGTATGGACAAAATGATTTCCACCTCTTCCAATGAAGTTATCATCACCAACGACGGTGCTACGATCCTCAACAAGATGCAGGTTCTTCAACCCGCTGCGAAAATGCTCGTTGAGCTTTCCAAGTCTCAGGACTCTGCTGCTGGTGACGGAACCACTACCGTCGTTGTGATCGCTGGTGCACTTCTCGAAAAATGTCTCCTCCTTCTTTCTCACGGTATTCACCCTACTGTCATCTCTGATTCACTTCATAAAGCCTCTGTTAAAGCTATTGATGTTCTCACTGCTATGGCTGTTCCGGTTGAACTCTCCGACCGTGATTCGCTCGTTAAATCCGCTAGCACTTCATTGAACAGCAAGGTTGTTAGTCAATACTCGTCTCTCCTCGCTCCCATTGCGGTTGATTCTGTTCTCTCTGTTGTGGATCCTGCTCATCCGGAAATGGTTGATCTTCGGGATGTTAAGATCGTTAAGAAGCTTGGTGGGACGGTCGATGATACAGAGCGTGTGAAGGGTTTGGTTTTCGATAAGAAGGTTAGCCATGCTGCTGGTGGACCGACTAGGATGGAGAATGCGAAGATTGCTGTGATTCAGTTTCAGATTTCACCTCCTAAGACTGACATTGAGCAGAGTATTGTGGTAAGTGATTACTCTCAGATGGATAGGATTTTGAAAGAAGAGAGGAGTTATATTCTAGGAATGATTAAGAAGATTAAGGCGACTGGTTGTAATGTGTTGTTGATTCAGAAGAGTATTTTGAGAGATGCTGTTACTGATTTGTCATTGCATTATCTTGCTAAAGCTAAGATTTTGGTGATTAAAGATGTTGAGAGAGATGAGATTGAGTTCATTACCAAGACTCTTAATTGTTTGCCAATTGCTAATATTGAGCATTTCCGTGCTGAGAAGTTGGGTTTTGCTGACCTTGTGGAGGAGGTTTCGCTTGGGGATGGGAAGATTGTGAAGATTTCTGGAATTAAGGATATGGGAAAGACAACAACTGTGCTTGTTCGGGGTTCTAACTTGCTCGTGCTTGATGAAGCCGATCGAAGTTTGCATGATGCTTTGTGTGTTGTTAGGTGTTTGGTTGCCAAGAGGTTTTTGATTGCAGGTGGTGGTGCTCCAGAGATAGAGCTGTCGAGGCAACTGGGTGCTTGGGCTAAGGTGTTGCATGGGATGGAAGGTTACTGCATTCGTGCATTTGCTGAGGCTCTTGAAGTTGTTCCTTATACACTTGCTGAGAATGCAGGTTTGAACCCGATTGCAATTGTTACCGAGCTGAGGAATCGTCACGCCAAAGGTGAGATCAATACTGGAATCAATGTCAGAAAAGGTCAAATTACAAACATCCTTGAGGAGAATGTGGTGCAGCCACTGCTTGTAAGCACTAGTGCTATCACCTTGGCAACAGAGTGTGTGCGGATGATTTTGAAGATTGATGATATTGTAACTGTGAGGTAGAATTTATTAGACAGTCACCGAAATTTAGAGAAAAACTACCGAGTCATCTTAGTATGTCCTTTTTAATTTACTTTTAAGTTGGTACTTGGTAGTTTATATTTATTTTCACTGATTTTGGTTGAGCGATTTTGACTTTTGCTGCTGTTTTTGTTACAAATTTGGATGTCCTTGTGGATTGTGATGTTTGCTGCAGTCATTTGATTTTGAAGTACTTCTTGTTTGTCTTGTAGTGGGAGTTTTTCAATAGTTGATCATTTTTCTGAGCACATTATTTGACTGTGTTCATATCTATACTTGTATTAACTATTACTGATTGTAACTTGAAGTTGAATAGGGGATTATATTAAAATAAAACATTTAATATCTTTAGGAGTTATGTTGATTAAGTATAGTTAAGTGATATAGAATGTTGGCCATTGGGGATATTGGTGGCAGAATTTCCAAAAGCGGTAGCGTGGCAGATTTTGTATGATGAGGCCATGACAGCCACAACTAGGGTGGGGATCATGGTGGTGCCTGCAAACAAAAACTGGAAAGCATGGTAGACCAAATGGGTTGGAGCCCTAAAAAACAGCAAATTTAGCCTTTTCTGAATTAATTTCCCCCATTCTTATCTTATTCTTTTGTTTGTTTATTTGTCTTTTCTTTATTTGTTTTCTTTCTTTTATGTCTTTGTTTATGTTTTAATTCTGTTTCCAATTTGTGCTCTGTTTTTCTAATCTGCTCTGGCCATCATTTTCCATCTGTTCTGTATATTTGCTTTATTTTTTATTATAAATTTATTTTTAAATCTATTTTCTACCCGTTTTTTGATGAGTTTATCATTTTTCTATCTCCAAAAAATCTCTGGTTTTTGGCGTATTTTTTTGGTGTTTTATTTGTCTTCCATTTGCCTTGACCTCATCCACCATATTATTTATTTTGTCACATGTCATCGAGAACTCTGGTATAGACTTAATCTTAGGATGTTAATGGAAGCATCACATGATTCGTCTTGTATTGTTCCTCGCCTATATTTGATCTTTTAGTTCTCTACGATGTGTGAATCTGTGCTTCTTTGTATCGGGGGGATTCATTGAGTTATCTATATATGGTTAGATCATCGGTGGCATGAATAACTTATGCAATTAGTTCAAAATGTAAGATATCAGATATTATTCAAATGCACTTTATCCTAATCTTGGGAAGTATACGGGTTTCAAGTTGCATCAACGGAGGATTACCAAACAAGACTTTGAAGATTGTTGGCCTCTTTGAAGGACACGCTCCTCAATAAGTTAGGGTGTGGGGTGTTGGTAAATATATTGCCATTAACTCTCCTTTCACATAAAATGCAAATTCAATGGTATTCTAAATCTATTTGTGACTATCTTGAAAGAATGGCTTGTTGTTATGTGGAAAGGGGTTGGTGATAAAGGGGGTACATTTGGTTAGTTGGATCAAATGATTAGGGAGGGGGTACATTTGGTGAGTTGGAACAAATGATGATCAAGAATCATGGTAGGCCTGATATTTTGACTCAATAGACAAGCTCCGGGTTCATTTGTGAATTTTTTACATTTGTGCCCTAGTATTGGAACATATACCCCAAAATGCCACTTTTATACAAATATATACTGAAATGCCATACTTTCAAAAACGAAAATTTTTTTGGTTGAAGGCAACCGCCCATTCATTGGGCGGAAATGTGTGAATTTAAAGGCAACCGCCCATTGGAAGGGCGGCAGTGACCACACTTAATTTTTTTTGGCTGAAAATATATTTTTAAATATTAATATATATAATTATTAATATATATTATTATAAAAATAGAATAATAATATAAATTTTAATATATGTTAATATTAATATATATTAATATTTATATTAGTAATAATATAAGTATTAATATATATTATTATAAATATATCTTAATATATGTTTTTAAATATTAATATGTATTATTATTAATATATATTATTATTAAAATAGATTAATAATACTAATTTTAATATATATTAATATTACTAATAATATTTTAAAATTATATTTATAATACTAATAATACTAATTTTAATATTAATATATATTTATAATACTAATAATATATATTTATATTAATATTATTAATATATTTTAAAATTAATATTAATAATATTTATAATATTAATATACATTAATATTAATAATATTAGTATTTATTAGTATATGTATTATGTGACACTATTATTAATATTAATTTAAATTTATATATTGAAGACATAATTTATATTGATTGAAATTATTAACTAATATTAATTAATACATGATGATTAATAAAAGGACTAACGACTACTTGTTCCCACATTGGGACACCGGGTGCGATTGTGTCCCGTTTGACGACACATGGAACATTTTCTCTCAAGCTTATCAAAGTTATCCATTTCTGTTGTAATACGTGTGCTTACAGGGCGACCTTTCTTGTTCCTTCGCATTCTTGGGTTATGGCAAATTTGATCTCCTTCATAAACAGACCAATATTCATCGCATGGCATCACTGGAAAACTTGCGCTGTAAACCCCAAATAGGTTTGTAACCCTATAAACGTCGGACAAAAGAGTGTAAGCGTCATGGCGCACATTCGAACATGCAGCGATAACATGTGAGCAAGGGACACGAAATGCTTGAAACTTTCCGCAGTCACACCACCCGTTCAAGAGGTCGACCTTATAATGTCCCATAGGTTTCCCCTCACCATGGTCCATTGTCTCTTGCACACTGAAAACATTGTTCCTGTAGTCAAAAATTCTTACTTGATGCGTGCTGGATTTTGTTGTTTCTTCTTTCATAACCTTGAGGCAGTTGTCTGTAAATGCTTGGCCAGAATTCAACACAGCACTCCACTTTCCACCCCTTTCAGCAAATAAAGATCCTAGTCTATAATACGTTGCCCTTACCAATGCCGTAATGGGCAAATTACATGTGCCCTTAAAGACGACATTCATTGACTCGACAAGGTTGGTAGTCATGTGACCCCAACGTCGACCGCCGTCAAATGCCCTTGTCCATTTTTCGGCTGGAATATTGTCAATCCACCTTAAAGCATCTGCATTTGCCATGCTAATCTCTGACCGATAGTAATGAAATGTTGGCTGGTTTAAAGCGTATCCTGAATAATTAAAATATCATATTAAAATATTGACAAAATAATATATGTTATTGACAAAATTTAATGAATATTAAGAAATATAGTTACCCATGTTAATTATTTTTTTCCGTAGGTTCCTGTCCTTGATTTCTCTCATAAAGTTTTGTGCAATGTGTCAGATACAATAAACATGCACTGAAGGGGGATCGTGCCAACCATTTTCCACATTGTTGTATGCACTTTCAATTGAGGCATGTCGGTCTGAAATTAAACATAGATCTGGTTGTGGGGCGACATGCCTCCTTAAGTTTCTCAGAAAAAAACCCCAGGCTTCAGCGGTTTCACCTTCCACAAGGGCAAAAGCAACCGGAAATATGTTGCTGTTCCCATCTTGTGCAACTGCGATAAGCAGTGTACCCTTGTACTTACCGTATAACCAGGTTCCATCAATTTGAAGTATAGGTTTGCAATACGCAAAACCTCTGATGCATGGTTGGAATGCCCAGAATAGCCGGTGGAAGATGTGTTTCCCTTCAACAATATGCGACTGGTGGGATGAATACATTTTGAAGTGGAACACATTGATCATCTATGTTGACTTCGATCCCTTCCTCAAACAAGGTAGTATATAAATCATCAACTTGTGCCTCGTTTTCTTCTTCGCCGTCTCCGTCTTCAACATCTTCGTATGGAATTATGGATGGATTGATCACCTGAGAAGTCTGCGTTTCTTGAACTTGTGCGAATGTTATATATAAATCAATGTACTGAAACCCACAACATTCATGATTCGAGAACATCGTTTCAACATCCTCGTCGTCACGAATCTTCAGTGGAACAAATTTAAAGTGATTGTCGCCGAAACGGACGACATTTTTGTACATCATCTGTGACACTGATCCAGCTTGCAACTTCATTTGTACCCTTTCTTTGAAATGTTGGAATGATGATCTTCTATTAACAGCGAAACGAATTACGTCAGTGTTTTCAAATATCAAACCCACTTCGTCTGATACAACAACACTTCCATTAAAATGGGCGTTAACAATATGTTGTTGAGCACTAGACATTATGTAATAGAGGTAGAAGAAAAATATTGTTTGAGTAGAATTATTTGGAATTGTTTGAGTAGGAATTGAGATAGTAGAATTGTAGTAATAGAGGTAGAAGAAAAATATTGTTTGAGTAGAATTATTTGGAATTGTTTGAGTAGGAATTGAGATAGTAGAATTGTAGTAATAGAGGTAGAAGAAAAATATTGTTTGAGTAGAATTATTTGAGTAGGAATTGAGATAGTAGAATTATAGTAATAGAGGTAGAAGAAAAATATTGTTTGAGTAGAATTATTTGGAATTGTTTGAGTAGGAATTGAGATAGTAGAATTGTAGTAAATATAGTAGAACCAGCCATGCCATGCATTCACGTGACATTTCTAATAAACCCAACCACCCATTGAATAGGCGTTGGTCAAACTATTTAACACACAACCGCCCATTCCAAAAACGGATGTCTGCAAAGCATTTATGCTGTCTGAAGGTAGCCGCCCATTCCAAATGCGGGTGTCAGGGAATTTAATGCACAACCGCCCATTCCAAATGCGGGTGTCAGCGTAAAAGAGACACAGCCGCCCAATCCATAGGCGGTGGTCAAAGTCTTTTAAGACTCTGCACCCATGCAGCCTACACGTCTATGCATGCAAAAAAATAAGTCCTATGCATGCAGAAAATTAATTTTACACTATCCCAAAATTAATTTTACACCAACCCAAAATTAATTACCTCCTATTTATCTCTTACAATTTTCATACTCTCCTACAACTTCCAACACAAATATCTCTTTCAATTTTCATACTCTCCTACAACTTCAAACACTATTATTTTTTACAATTATCATA